TCCTGTCCCCAGAAATCCATCCGACGATGACGTATAACTTCCGGTTAGGAGCTGCTCAGTTAAAAAGAAGAGTTCCATGAAGGGGTTCTCCATGTTGGGCTCGAGGCGGACGATAAGGTCTGTCGGACTTTCGCCTTGTATCCGAAGCTCCGTCGATGCATTTGACTTTGTTCCTCAAATCACGGGTAATAGGAACATCACTGGTAATACTTTGGAGGTAGAACTTGATAGTGAGGGTGATGGCAGTGATTATGACTTGGAAGACCTCCAAGTTTGTGCTCAGATTTAGAAAATGAAGATGGCCTTGCGGTGGATTCACAGACGAAGAAAAAATTGAATGTACCATCATACAATCGAAGCTCAGACTCAAAAGACCTTGAGTTGGAAATTTTATTTGAAGAAGCGAGGGAGTTCAAAAGTGCTTTGATCAACTATGCAGTTCATTATAAGTGTGACCTAAGATGGGTAAAGAATGGGCCAATGAGAGTTCAAGTAGAATGTTCTATGAATTGTCCTTTCAAATGCACAGCTTCATCAACGAAGCAGTACCACTGTTTCCAATTATAGACATGGGTATGGACACACAAATGCAATCCAAAATTCAAGTTGAAGATTGTAAGTCAAACATGGCTAGAAGATTAGTACGACTGTACGAGAACAAAATCAAAGAAAATCCATGCCTACGCCAGCTTGAAATACAAAAGGAAATACGGAATGACTACAAAATAAGTGTGAATGTCTAAAAAGTCAAAAGGGTCGTTACTAGGGTAGTGAAAAAAGCTAATGCATTGTTTGGGGATCAATTTAGACGACTCGGGGACTATGGAGCTGAGTGCTTGTGGTCAAATCTAGGGAGCACCGTAATTGTAAAAATGCAAAGGGTGACAGAAGAGGGTCCAGAGGTGTTTTAGTGCATGTATGTGTGTTCTGAATCTATTTGAGCATCAACAGATTCAAAATACTTAGCCTCATAATATTCTTCTCTTTCGTGAGTTCTAATCCTTTTTACTTTCTTTCCGGTTTGTAACTCATCTTTTGAAAATAAAAGATATATATAACAGTATCTTGTGAAATCATCAATAAATGTGACTACATATTTATTTCCAAAAGAAGTAGTGATTTGGTAATCACACAAATCACTATACACTGATTCAAGCATGTTGGATTTTCTTTCAACATTTTGAAAGGATCGGAGTTTCTAGTGATTTTGTTTAGCATGCAATTTCTACACTTTTCTATGGTAACATTAAAAGGAGGAATTAAACCTACTTTACACATGTCACTAAGTCTATGGTAATTAATATGACATAACCTATTGTATCACTAAGAAGAATCACAAACCATATAAACAGAATTCCTATTGTGCCACAAAGAAGAATCACAAACCATATAAACAGAATTAACAACTTTATTTACAACACTTAGTTTGAACATGCCTTTACAATAGAAATTTTGGCCTACAAATACACCACCCTTAGATAAAATAAACTTATTTGCTTCAAACTTAAGTTTAATCCCAAAGTTATTTAGGATGCCACCGGAGACAAGTTTTTTCCGAATTTGTGGTACATAGTACACATCATTAAGAACTCATTTATTTCTGGGAAATAGAAACTAATAATCCGACCTTTTAACAGTCTTCTTACAATAGTCTCACCTTTTCGTTATTCAGGAATAATTCAACCTTTAATTTGCACCCCATCTTCATTCGTTGGTCCCTGCCCGATTCATAACCTGTTATTCCAAGTTATTTTTTATCTTTGCAAAATATTATCTTTGTGAAAGGTGGAATTTATGGTATAATGGTATGCAGAGATAAGAAAATAACTTGGAATATCATGTCATCAATCGATCAGGGACTAGTGAATAAAGATGAGGTGCAAAGGTTGGATTATTCATGAATAACGAAAATGTGGGAATATTGTAAGAAGCCGCTAAAAGGTTGGTTTTTAGTTTCCATTTTCCCTTTATTTCAGGAAGATAATTCCAATTCTACTTGCCTAATTCCTTGAATTTGCACAGTAGAGTCATTTTTCATGTATAAGATCAACCCCTCTTGTAACTATTTTAAAGTCTTAAAAGCTTGCTTATCTTTACATACATGCCTTGTTGCTTCGGTGTTGATTCACCCAGATTCATCATCCTGCACAACACAAATTTCAGAAAGCATAGCTACAAAAATCATGTTGTTATCAACATCATTTGTAACTATAAACGATTTTGACCTTGGTTGTATTGGCCACCGTTTGGATGGCCGTTCAGTTGAGTCTTCTTCTTCTTCTCCACCTTCGGACAGTCCCTCTTGAAATGTGGACCGCTGCATTCCCAACAAGAGCGTACTTTCTTATCTTTCTGCTTCTTTTCAAACTTGGAACATTTGGTAAATTTTCCGAGACATTTTTTATTTTTCTTAGTCCCACTTGAATGTCCCTCCATAATATTTATAGAGGAAATTGGAAGGTCATTCTTCTTACCATTGTCACCTTCACGTAACTTGATGCTTTCTTCATCAATTTGAAGTCAGCGACGGAGGAAGGTTGGGGCGATGCTGGACTCCATCCCCGCCAGATGATCTGATTTTGGCTACCGCTTTACTAGTTGAGAAACTTATTTACTTTATTTGTTTTGCTTTGTTTATTTCCCACGTTTTGGATTTTTGTTTTGTTTTGGTTGTGCTGCATATTTCCAGCAAAAAAACTCGTGAAACTAAGGCAGGGGATGAAGAGTCGTGTCTGCAAGTCATAGGCTCAGGTAAACCCAAAGGAGGATCAGCAAATTATATGGCTTCTCTGGAGGTGATTAATTCATAGTCTGGTCTTTGGACAGACGGTAGACAGGAGACTTGTTGTCACTTTGTAACCTGTTTTGTGGTTGGTCTGTTTGGAAATGATAAGTTAAGCCAGTTTCATTAAAAAAACCATATTATTATCATCATCATCATCATCATACCAAATACACGTGCACAAGTGTGGTGCTCACAATAATAACATCCATTAGGCCATTACGATTAAAACATTCATTCTAATAAAACACAACATTCATTACCAACACCAACAGAAATGACAGAGAGGAAGTCAAGGGGGTTGTGCATGTACTGTGGTGATCCCTTTACTCCTGATCATTATGCTCAAAAGCATAAAAGGCCCCAGTTATTTTATATAGAAGGTGAGGGGGAAGATGAATATTCAGAAGAAGACAATAATCAAATGAATACAGAAGAAACTGATAGCCTGGAAGCTTGCATTTCTGTCAATGCTATGGCAAGTGTATCAACTTTCCGAACTATGAGAATTACAGGTTATTCACAGAAGAAACATTTACAAATTGTCATAGATAGTGGAAGTACCCACAATTTTATTGATGAAGATACTGCAAAAAAAATTGGGGTGTACTATGGAGGGTATTAAACCAATGATACTATGTGTGGCTGATGGGAGCAAAATGATGGTTTTAAAGATGTGTAGAAACTTTCAGTGGACAATTCATGAAACCATATTTAGTGCTGATTATATGGTATTACCTCTGGGGTGTTGTGATATTGTATTGGGTGTACAATGGTTATCAACTTTGGGTCCCATAGTATGGGATTTTCAGAAATTAAGGATGGAATTTCAGGTTAATGGAAGAAAACATGTACTCAGAGGTGAAGATAATAACAACAAGATCAAAGTGGCGTTAGTTCTATTGATTCTTCAATTATGAATTGTGAGTATTTTAGTTAGGGATTTGGGATTGATGAAGGGGCCAATCACGATGTATGGCTAGATTCTTGATGGATTAATTGCATGAATGTCGTTTAATTTATGTTTGAATAATTTAACTGATATCTCTTGTAACCTAGAACGGCCGCTAGAATTACAATTGCTTGTAAAATAAATTAAGAGAGATCTAATTTATTCTAAGACACATTCACACACACTTAAAATAAATTAAGAGAGATCTAATCGTTCGCCAAGAGATTAATAGCGATTAAGGGGCCCTAAGCTCGCTCGTCTTGACAATAATTTAGGATCCTCTCACATGAGAAGATCAGTCTGGTCCCCTAAATTATTGTACTATACGCCGCGAGAGCGGTAAGAACTTAGTAATGATTAGCTAGGCTCAATTAAATCAAATTCATGTAATTAAGTCTGATCTGTCAGAAATCTGGTTATCCCGGAATCAATTCATGTTCCCTTCGTCGTTAATTAGAGAGAAAACCAACCTTTTTATTTAATCGCTCATTTGCATTAGTTAATTTTCAAACCAACCAATCTCGCACATCACATTTATTTTATTTATTTCTTTTTAATCGCTGAATTTAGTTAATTCGTATTTCCCTTTTGTCTGCCCCTGTGGAGACGATACTCGTACTTTCAACCATTTTTCTACAATCTTTTTAAGTGTAAGAAAACTAACATCAATGACCTATAATGAATGACAGATTCTTAACTTTGCACATTTGTTGAACCTGTAGGATAATAGACAAAGCGCTTGTGTGATTCCAAATTTAACACTTTACAATCTTTTTTTTTTTTTTTTTGGGAACGAGTTTTATTAAAATAAGAACAACATACAAAAGAAGAGGGGGACGAGACCAAAACCTCTTCAGAAAGGGCATACCCTTTCAAAAAACATCAGAACAAATAAAAAAAGATCAAAAATGGGGAGACATAAACCTGACCCAAATTTGATAAAAGCAAATTACATGAAAAATCTAAAAGAAGGAATATCAAAAGTATCAAAATAAATTTCAACCTTAATCGGGCTGGGTAAATTAGAGGTATCAGTCCATAAAGAGAATTGGCCCGGGTGAATTTTAGCAAGCATATGCGCTGGTCCATTTCCTTCACGTAGAGTATGTCGAAACCGGATCCCCTTCCTAAAACAGATCTGTCTGAACTCAACAATTTCCTCCCTCCATCTACCAAACTTCCTCCCATACGTGAAATCAAGAAGTTCTTCAGCATCAACTTCAACCTGGAAGCTATCAAAACCTTCCTCAATCACCCACTTCGTAGCTTGAATCAGCGCCTTCCATTCAGCCTCAAGACTCGAGTCTGCAGCGACGGGAAACGAGATAGCTCTGAGCATCTTACCTCGTTCATTTCTCAGAATAGCTCCACCGGAAGCTCTACCAGGTATGAAAGCAGCGTCAATATTTAATTTTAACCCATTCTTAGGTTTGATCCAGCGAATAGGTTTTAAGATCCTTTGAGCAAGATGATAACCTTCAGGAATAAGCCTTTCTTCATACAAAATCTTGTCTATGGTGCGAAGCTTCATATTAGACATACTAAGAACCCAGTTTTGAGTGTATAGTTTGATCTGCCAAATTGTATTCTCCGCAGTAGGAATCCCTGTTAGAGAGCCCCAAATCAGCCCACTATATGTCTTCCAAATAAACCAGCATATGATACCTGGTAGGTTGTGTTTAAAAACATCAGCAAGGGTTTTACTTCCAGCCTCCATCCACCACATAAAAAAAGCATTTCTAAGTGAGAAATTACTAGGAGGCATAGGAATATGCATAATCTGAGCAAAGTAGTTCCAAATAAACCTAGAGTAATGACAGTCCAGGAAGATATGGTTTGTAGAATCAGAATTATTCATGCATAAAGGGCATATAGAAGGCTGAATAACTCTTTGGAATCTACTTAGATTATCTGAAATAGGCAAAATTCCCTTAAAGATCTTCCACTGAATTAACTTCATCTTGAGTTGTTGTTTAGGATGCCAAATATGCTTGAAAGAAAAAGCTGATCCCTGGCAGTTTCTAACCGAATTATATGCAGAGTTCAAAGTGAATTGACCATCATTTGAGTTTTTCCAGAGTATTTTTGAAGATGAAGATTCAACCAAGGTCTCTGCCAATTCATGGATCGAGCAAAGTCTTCTCCATATAGGTGAGTCTGACATCCTAGGCCTCATATCATCTCCCCTAGAGTATTTCTCTTTCATAAAAAACAGCCCAATAACATGATGAAGACTTCCACTTCCACCACATTTTTAAGGAAAATGCTTTCTCAACATCATATAATGAACGAATACCTAGCCCTCCCTCATCTGTAGGATAGCATAACTTGGACCAACTCAACCAGTGATATTTTTGCTTATTATTAGAATTCCCCCAAAAGAAATTGGACATCTTCTTTTCTAATATCCTGATAACTCTACTTGGCAGTTTGTCCACAGCTAGAAGGTGAATTGGGATAGAACCTAATACATGTTTAATTAAGATAAGTCTCCCTCCCTGTGTAAGATTTCTCTGTTTCCAAGCAGATAATTTTGAGTCAAATTGATTGATGATGTGGTGACAATACTGATGTCTATTGATCCCCTTGTGTAGTTTAGCCCCTAGATATTTCAAAGGCAATGTAGCTTTCTGCATCCCCAGCAAATCCTTGATAGCCTGGCTTCTTGGATTAGCATGTTTACCACAAACAAATGAACTTTTTTCAAAGTTGAGTGCCTGGCCAGAAGCACCCTGGTATAAGGTAAGAAATTTTTGGAAATTAAATAGAGACCTGGAATCTCCATTAATAAAAATGAGCAGATCATCTGCAAATCCAAGGTGAGAGATAGGAGTTCCATGTTTACCAATCCAGTAAGGCTTAATTAAACCTTTAGAAATATGCCAATTCAAACCCCTAGAAAAGGCCTCAGAAGCCAAGATGAAAAGGAAAGGAGATAAAGGATCGCCCTGTTTAACACCTCTCCTAGGTTTAAAGAAACCTTGAGGGGAACCATTGATAATAACTGAAAGATAGGTCGCTTGCAAATTATTATTAACCAACTGAATTAAATGATCAGCAAAACCAAAATTCTTAAGCACTCTTGATAGAAAGCTCCAAGATAAACGATCAAATGCCTTAGCCATATCAAGTTTAATGACCATATTAGAACCCCTAATCTTTTTATCAATTGCATGGATCATTTCCTGGGCGATAAGAATTTGATATGCCATGTCTTTACCTTTCATGAAGCCTGCTTGTTCCATAGAAATAAGTTTAGGAAGAACAATACTCATTCTGTTAGCAAGAACTTTGGTACACACTTTGTTCACAAAGTTGGAAAGACAGATGGGCCTGAAGTCTGCAAAAGATGATGGGCTGTCTTTCTTAGGAATAAGGACTAATAGAGAGCTAGACAAACCCTTAGGAATGGGAACCCCTAAGAAGAAATCTTGAACAGCACTTACTACATCCTCCCCCACTATATTCCAACATTTTTTGTAAAATTTACCATTGTATCCATCAGGACCAGCAGCTCCATTCTGATTAAGAGCCCAGACAGCTTGTTTGACCTCTTCAGCCCCAGGTAATTCAAGTAAAGACTTGTTTTCTTCATCATCAACTATTTTGGGAATATATTCCAAAATCTCCTCAGGATCTTCTACATGCTCAGCTGCATAAAGGTTAGTGAAATAATTGACCGCTGCTTCACCTATTTCAGGAACAGTATGGACAGTAACACCATTGGAGTTTTTTATAGAGGTAATCTGTTGTTTCCGATTTCCTATTTTAACATAAGAATGATAAAATTGGGTATTTGAATCTCCCTCTTTCAGCCAAGTGATATGTGCTTTCTGCTTCCAAAACTTCCTCTCCATTTTGTATTTATTCATGAGAATAGCTCTTTTTAATGACCAGTCACTTCTATTAGAATCAGAAGGATTTTGTTCATAGCTTATCTCAGCATCAAGAACCTCTTGCTCGCAGATCTTAATTTCATCAAAAATATTCCCAAACACCTCAGTATTCCACTTTTTAATATCATTTTTTAAGCATTTAAGCTTACAGACCAGGCCAAACATACCTCTTCCAAATTTATGTGAATTCCAGCTGTTCTCAACCATCTTCAAAAAACCAGGGTGAGCAGTCCACATATTGTAGAATTTAAAAGGCTTAGGAGTTGAAAAACCTTTATTTGTAAGCTGTATAAGAATAGGGGAATGATCTGAAGGGGTCTTATTCAAATGGGTAATCTGGATATGGTCAAACAAGTCCATGAATTGATTATTAAACAATACTCTATCAAGTCTTCGCCAAAGTCTTCCATTGCTCCTAACCCCTGTCCAAGTGAATTTAGTTCCAGAAAAAGGTAGATCATTTAGTCCACAAGCTGAAATACAATTGGAAAACTCTGTCATACTAGTCTGATATGGTAGAGATTGACCAAAATGCTCAGAATGAGAAGCAATTGAGTTAAAGTCGCCCCCTACCATCCAGGCATCTTTAATCTGAACAGAATAATCTTGTAATCTCTGCCAAAGTACCCTTCTATGAATGTAACTGTGATTTCCATACACAGCAGTAAAGAAACCAGAAAAAGAGCCAGAACTTATCTTGAAATGAACAAATTGGGAATGCCATTCAATATGAGATAATTGGAGATATGATTCATCCCAAAAGATCCATATTTTATTAATATCAGAGCAAATAACTTTATTAAACCCTAATTGTCTCATGTAATCCTCAGCCTTGTGATTAGATACAATAGGTTCAATCACCACAATCAAATGAATATGCCAATACTGTTTAAGAGAGAATAATCTAGAACCAGCACCTTCTAGCCCTCTTAAATTCCATATAAGACAATTCATTATAAACTAGGTGAGGAAGAAGCATGTGATAGCCGTTTGGCTAAAGTTTGTGTGGATAAACTCTCTGAATTGAGCAGTTTTTTGGCTATATTCCTGGTAATTATAGTTGATACTGCTGTGTTAGTTTTTTTCTTTTTATAACCCTTCCTTCTAACCAATATGAAGTCCCCCTCATCTGCAGGTTTGTTAGAATCTTTAGCAGCTTCATGTTTCTCTTTCTGGCTAACCACAAAATTAACTCCCTTTATGATAGCTGGAAGTGCATCCTTCCAAGTCTGAACATCTTCATTGTGCTTTGGTGTTGCACCATCTGAGAGGTAGTCCTTTGTTGCAATATCCGGATCAAATTCCAATTGATGATGCAAAGTTGAAAGCTGAATATCATCAAGTAAAGGACCCACTGGTCTGGAAAGAGAAATATTAGAAAGCTCTGTAGATAGCCAGTTGTTATCATTTGTAGAATGATTTCTGTTTTGTATTGCAGGTTCAGGCTCAGGGTCATGATAAACCTCCTCCGTATCAGTATCCTCTTGGATATCCACCAGTTCAGGCCCCTCACCATGTGCCTCCAAGTTACCATGCTTTGATGTAGAGGGGTCCAATATCTCTTTCACTCCATTTGTAATCATTTTCCCCTTTCCTTTATCTTGAGGTTCTGATGTTGGCATGTGCTGTGAAAAATTTTTGGGTTTAGCAACCCACTTTTCTTTAGGCTGTACTATTGCTTTGGGCTGAACAGTTTGATGCTCTATTTGCTGAATCTCCTTTGGTTGCATCTCCTTTTTAGGGCATTTGGCATCTGAATGCCCCAAGTGAAAACAGTGCAGACAGTACATGGGCCTATTCTCATAGATAACTGGCTGGGCAAAACCAGTATCTCCGCAATTTATCCAGACTTTTTGAGGCATTTCCTTTGTAAGATCTAGCTCAACACAAATTCTTGCAATAGAAGGTCTTGATAGATTAGCTGTCGCAGCATCTAATTTTAAGGGGGTCCCAATTAAACTGGCAATTCCAAAGAGGGCCCTCTTATCATGAAGATGAAGAGGGAGTCCTTCAAATGCGATCCAAACGGGAACTATGGGTGATTCCACGTTTGGACGGAAATCAGGTGACCATTTGGTCACTCTCATAGTAAAACCGTAAATATTCCAAGTTTGTCGGTTCCAGCATCTCAAATAATCTTCTTCAAGATCAAAACGTATCAAAACATGTTTTTTTTTCAACAAAGCAAGATGAAAAGGGCCTTTAAATCCAATTACCTCAAATGCTTTACGTAAATTGTCCATGCTTGGCCTGCCTTTGTAAAAATAACCAATCAGTGAGCGCTTATGACGTTCAGCCAGAGTATGGATATCCTTTCCTGTGAATGATATTGTCGGCAATCCTTTGAACCGTGAGATCGTCATGTCCAGTTTGGCTTCCGATTTATTAGAAACCACATCAGCAAATGATTTGTTGAGCCAAAGATTCCCTGCTGCAGGTGTGTGCTTCCCTCCTGGCGGAGGCTGAGCCGTCGTCAATAGGTCTGCCGTCGTAGTATAAACTTAAGTATAAACATAATCCAAGAAAACACATTTTTGACTACGTGTTTCAAACTTATTACTCCCTCTGTATTCTTTTGTTTGTTACACTTTCTTTTTTGGATGTATTCAAAAATTTGCTATACTTTTCTTTTTTGGTAAAATTTTACTATAAAAATACTCAACTACCCTTATTTTTTCTAGTTATTATCTTCGCTTTCATACGTTTTCACCATCTCTCCTATTTTTCTATATTATTCATTACTCCTATTATTTCACTCCTAAAAAATGTGTCAACACCTATTGTAGCAAACAAAAAAATAAGGAGCTAGGGAGTACTATTTTTAGAATGAACATAGCACAGGCAATCAAAATTTTTTATGTGTTCATAAGAAGGCACCTTACCATACAAACATTCACAATGAGTTTTTTACCATTAATCATAGAAGGTTTCCAGTAAATTAAATAACAGATAGTCAAACTGCACTCCCCCCAAAAACGAATAGGAAGATTGGCTTAAAACCGTAAGGCCCGATTTACATTTAAAATATGGCAGTGCTTTCGTTCAACGCGACCATTTTGTTGGGAAGTCTCAACACTACACGAAGTTTGAAATAAAATCCCTTAATTCGGAAAAATTCCCTTAGCGGAGAATATTATGTTCGATTATCAGCCCTCGCAGTTTTAACAGATGTATTCAATTGAGTACCGACTATCGAAAGAAAACGCTTCATAATAGCTAGAACATCCATTTTTCACTCATCAAATGAACCCAAACAACACGTGAATAATCATCCACAGTAGTCAAGAAATATTTTGCACCACAAGTACTTGGTTCCCGGTATGAACCCCATACATCACAATGCATAAGTTAAAAAATATGCAGAGCACAATTAAAACTAGGAGTAAATATTGCATGTGTCTGTTTGAACTACAAACACAACCTTTATTTTGACTAACAGAAAGCAATTGTATCACCCAGGATGAGGGATGACCCATTCTTCGATGTCATAAATCTCATGTGCTACCAACCATATGCGAAGCTTGCACACATTAAGCTCCACACAAATAATAGACCCCAGCACAATGTTCACCTACTCCAATCAGCATCTTCAAAGTGAGGTCCTATATCACACAAAATTTGTTAGTAAAAATAACGTGACACGGTAAATCATCAATAAGGCGACCAATAGAAATCAAGTGACGTGTCATGTTGGGCCCTAAAAGTACTCTTTCAAGAGTTACTCTTAGTCTTATCACCACTCGTCTAATATGGCTAGCAGTAAGTAATATTTCCATTAGGAAGAGTTATGAGGATAGACGTCACAAGAGTAATGTCAAACATAACATTTTTATCAGCCGTCATATGATATGAAGCCCCTATGTCAAGAAGCATACCTGCAAATTTTTCAACACCATCATTTGTTTGGAATTTTTTCATGAACAAAAAAGAGTTCCAGTGTTATGTCCGAAGGGTAGGAAACTATGTGGATTCAGGCAATGCTTTAATTTCCTCCAAGGCATATCCGTCCACTGCATTTTCTTGTGCACCAACCCCCTGCAAAAATTCTCCCCGCGAGAGCCCCCAATCCGCTCTTTTTCCTTATCCAGTTATATGTCCTTCCCTCCAAATTAGTTACTGTTCAGTAAGCTTAAAGCACAGATCTCGTTCATGCCCCTCCTTCTTGCAATAGCAACAAAACAACTTCCATTTGTCTTTTGCAAGTGATGGAGTCCATTGTCATCCTGATCTTGCAGCAAATACACAACAGTTTCACCCCTCACGTCATGTGCTTGTGTGACCTTCTTTGTGACCACACTGAGTGTTGCAAGCTCTGTCCTACTCAGAATTTTTGATCGTAGACTCCCATATATAGCACCATCCAATACAAGGAGAAACTCATGCATCTTCTCATTTTCTACATTTTCCAAAAACTATTTTCAATGTTACAAGAACACCCAACACAGGTGCATTTTGAGATTTTCTTTTTATATCCATCATAATCATCCCATATGATCTTCAAACGCCCAAAGTAAGCAGTCACACTTTCGTCCGCTTGTTTTCATTTTTGTAAGGCTTGCTACATTTAATGGAACTGCATCCCATTGGTGGATTTGAACCACAGTTTCAATTCCTCCCACAAATCTCGGGCTGAATCCATGTAGGCCATAGTTGGCTGAAGCATCGAATCAATTGAGGTGGTCAGCCATCCCACTAGCACCAAGTTTATGGTATACTAATCTTCAATCCCATCTCTATCTTAAAGAATCTTGATTGATCCTTCAAGAAATCTCAAATAATTTTTCGCTTGAAAAGCATTCTGCATAGCCATAGACCATTCAAGGTAGTTTTCTTCTACCCGAAGCGTGATACCACAAATATCAACCCCTTGTATATCTAAGTTATACAAATACTATGGCGAGGAAACGTCATTGATTCTCCGGCGTTCATCCTTTTGCCCAGCCGTCGTTTGTGGGTTCACCATTGTCGTCAATCACCAAGGTCGTAGGTACGAGCTAAATCACTGTCTCTGATGCCATAATATAGGGATGAATAATGATGAAAAGGAGAGAAATTACTCTTCTACTTTGTATTGTCGCATGGGTCTCCTTTATGTACAATTCTAGAAAAAGCAAAATAAGGTAATTATCTAGTTATAAAACCTCCATGCTTTAAATGCTATATGGAAAGATAGGAGAGCAAAAAAGGAAAATAAATATGTACAGCAAAAATAGAATATTGACTAGTATAATAATTAATTATATGCAATATATTTGTACAAGTCGCTAACATAACCTACTATTTGTTAACCGTTAAATGTCAAAAACGCTCTATATCGACTCGAGAGTGAGGGAGTTCAAGCATACGAATAGTAAACAAGGTGGGTGTAGTCCATTGAATGACCATCCAATCCCAAGTATCTCCTTTGTGAGAGGTCTTGGATTCAATTCCCACCTAGGAGAGATGAATGAAGTATTGCTTTCCATGATTCTCTCACCTTCGCGGAATAGCTCAATGGTTGAAAAGGGCATGATAATGAAGACATCGAGTTTGTATGGTGGGGAAGTAGCTTGGAAGGGACTGATGATATAAATGATTGCAGAATTTGTCATTTGAAGTCACTATCTATGAGATTAACTTTGATCAGATCTAAATTTAGCTTGTGGACATGTGAAATTATTGGGCCAGTTATAGTTGTTATTAGACCTCTGTCTAATGCTAGCGGGCTATTTCAACTTTGGTGGACATCTTTTAAATGCTATTGGGCCGATTTCATATTTTATTGGACTTTTCGTGACGGTTGTTTGGCCTTAGCAAAAGAATAGTATTAATATGGATCATTTCGGATATAATTTAGTAATTAAATTAATTTGGGTTATTTAAATATCCAATTAATTTAATTATAAATTAAATCTTTAAAAGAATGGACCGATCCTATTAATTTCTCTATTTTGAGCCTATTATCAAATAGCGGCCCAATATAGAAGAGACATGATTCAATTGATAAAGAGAGCAATGAATCCAGTCAAGAAATCTATCCAAATGCATGAGAAATGGTTGTGAACCTTGTTAAAAAGGCTGTCCAGATACATTATATAAGTGCTGATTTTTCTAGCCATTAAAATGCAAGCAAATACAGCCCGAAGCCCATTTTAATTGAGGCCCATGGGGTATGAACGAATTTCTGCAACCCTAGGCCATATTTCCACCCCCTCCACACCTATAAATAAGGCTCTCAGTTGAGAGGAAAAGAGGAGAGCTTCCAGATGAAGAAACGCTGCAGAAAAGCTTTGAAGAACTCCCGAAAGGCTCTGAAGGATTACGAAAAATCGGAAGATATCAAGCCACGTTTTTGTCAAGAATATATGATTAATCCTTTGTGATTTTCATCTATTCTTGATCAAACAAAGCCAAAAGTTGAAGAACGTTCGAAGATCTGAAGAACGAAGCTTGAAGATTCGAAGATCTGAAGAACGAAGCTTTGAAGATTCGAAGATATGAAGAACGAATCTTTGAAGATTTGAAGATATTCATATGAAGATTGAATCAAGATTCAACTGAAGATCAAGCCATATATCCCGGGAGGCCCTTTAACAGAAGATCAAGCCATAAAACGGCCCTTTTGTTGAAGATCAAGCCACTTGAAAACCGGAGGCCCTTCAAGCTGAATTCTTTATTCAAGAAGATTTGAAGATCCGAAGAACGAAGGTTCGAAGATTCGAAGATCTCAAGAACGAAGATTCAAAGATCCGAAGAACGTTCAAGTTTTTGTGAAGAATCAGATGATTCATATTTAGAGATTGTACCCAATATTTTCACATATTATTATTTGTGATCAATTTTAAGTAAATACTTAAAATTTGTTTCACATAGCTCTCTCGGAGTTTTGGAGAATAATTATGAGGGCCTAAACTCCTACCATTATGACAAAAAAATAGTAATAGCAAACCTTCCCACGTGCTATCCGGTTGGGGTTCGGGTATGGGCGCGCACGTGTCCTTCCTCCCCAAATGATCTAATCCAGGTGCTTTGTCTATCCCTCTTTCCCTCTTACACTATTTCTTCACCTTCCTCTTCCTTTCCAACCGGCTGCGCAGGAGACTCTCTCTCCCGTCCATAAGAGCTTATAAGCTGATATTGTTTTACCATTTCCTTCCCGGCTGATTTATTTCGCTGGATTAATTCGAATTGAAACAACCTGAACCTCCGGTGGAAGAAGTAGAGCTACTTCTCCGGCAATGGAAACGGAGGTTCAATCGAATTACAGCTACATGGGTCGAAGCTTCGGAGATCTCAGTATGAACGAAAACTCCTCCGCTTTCAGTGACTGCGACAGCGATAGATCTGGTGAGTTCCCGACGGCTTCTTCGCAGAGCCGCCGTCTACTGCTGGCTTGCGCCGCTGATAACTCCGACGAATTGATCAATCAACTCGTCACCGATCTGGATTCGAGCTCAATCGACGAGCAAAAGCAAGCCGCAATGGAACTCCGTCTTCTGGCTAAGAATAAGCCGGAGAACAGAATCAAAATCGCCAGAGCCGGCGCAATCAAACGCCTAATATCGCTAATTTCTTCCCCCGATCCTCAGCTTCTGGAATACGGTGTAACCACAATCCTCAATCTCTCGCTCTGCGACGAGAACAAGCAGCTCATCGCCGCTTCAGGAGCAATCAAGCCGCTTGTTCGAGCTCTTAAAATCGGCACATCCGTCGCCCGAGAGAACGCCGCATGCGCTCTTCTCCGGCTCTCGCAAGTTGAGGAGAACAAAATTGCTATCGGAAGGTCCGGCGCCATTCCGCCGCTAGTGGACCTTTTAGAGAACGGAAATTTACGAGGCAAAAAGGACGCATCGACGGCTCTATACTCGATATGTTCGGTAAAAGAAAACAAAATCAGAGCAGTGGAAGCTGGGATAATGAAGCCTTTGGTTGAATTAATGGCGGATTTCAGCTCAAACATGGTTGATAAGTCGGGATTCGTTGTGAACGTCCTCACGTCGGTGGCTGAGGCGAGGGCGGCGCTGGTGGAGGAAGGCGGGATCCCAGTGGTGGTGGAGATCGTAGAGGTAGGGTCACACAGACAGAAAGAGATTGCGGTGTCGATCCTGCTTCAACTTTGTGAGGACAGCGTGCCATACCGGACCATGGTGGCCCGCGAGGGTGCGATTCCTCCCTTGGTTGCTCTGTCTCAATCCGGTACCAGTCGCGCCAAACAAAAGGTTACAGCAATTAAAGTTAATCATTGTTAGTATTTAGTACAATAGTTTATTCAGATTAGTATGCACGAATCATGCTTGAAGTACATCAATGACTCAAGTGCCATTATTGTGTTGTTTTCTGTTTATTCTGTGCACAGGCGGAGACACTGCTTCAGCTTCTCCGGCAGCCGAGATCAGCAAGCGCCACCGCTCTAGGAACCTCTGTTCTTTCAGTTTGAGACGGCGCCCCAACCGGACTACGCCAGAGAAGAAAGTGGGTAGTAGAAAACAAAGAAAGACCAGATAGATAAGCAAATTCCAAATGTAAATAGTTCTAGTGCTTTTAGTTTGTGATGTCTTGTAAATTTGAGCTTCATTTGACGTTGAATTTCGTGCCCTTTTGGCCCTGGTGCGGTGTTGCGCGTTGCAAATTGTTGCTTTTTGCAAATTTTGAACTCAGATTTTGATTTAAAAACCAGATTCCAAATGAATGACTAGTTTGAGCCTAGCAACGTTTGGTTCACCATATAAAGAACATATATGCATTTCATACAGGTTTTTAATTATAAAATCAAAAGATTTGCAACTCGCAAACTCCGCAGGTCTTTGATTTTTGGTTTGTTAATGGGAGTTTTAATTTGTGTGTGGATGTGTTTCTACTTTTTTAGCGTATGTTTATGAATGAGGATTTTGATTATATGATAGCGTAGCGGAACTGTGAGTGTGTAACAAAAATGCAGGTGACGAATGAGTCAATTTTAATTACTCATTTAGCCTTGAGTTTGTGCGCACAAGTAGAGTTTTTAGCGGAAAAGAGTGACTCACTTATTCAAGTAAACAAGTCAAAGATTTGTTTCATACTCGGGTTCAAAACGAGCAGACCTAGCCTATACTAGAAAATAGCATTTGGACTCGTGATTAGTGTATATACTTGAGGCTTAAAATGCAATCTAATTGTGACTCGTGAGATCGATTTGAACATCGGGAAAGTAGTGCTGAAGATCAACTCTGAACTCCAGAACTGAATGAGGGGAGCTCGAGCTAGACTAAAGCCGGTGCATTGTATATCATGAAATTAGGGGAGAATTTTAAAAGTTCATGTATCTTAGATGTTAGGCCGGTGTGTTGAATGTAGACTACAAACTTTTAAGTCATTAAAAGTATATTCAAATTTTCATTCATCTATACATAGTACGGAGTATAAAACAATGAATTGTTATGGACTTCTAACTCATCATCATCTATATGAGTGTAGTATGACTTTTTCATTTGTACTCTACTCATTAGAAGTTCATCAATCTTTCAATCAACTTTTTTACCTAATGAGTAATTTTTCATTTTATGTATTTAGAATGTTGGATGGTAGATTCTATGATACCCATAATGTATCATACCTTTGTCCACATGAACTAATGAAAATATAGCAATTGAATTATTTAAATCTAAATTAAAAATAATAAAGTGATGTGGTCCAATTAGATTAATGGTAGGTACGATGCCCTGTTTTTTAGAAGGTACCGGAGTTGTCACCATGTTGGATTGTGTATTGTGTAATAGTCAAAATAAGTATGATTGAAGTTAGTTTTCTAGTGAAATTGACTGAAATTAATGTAGATGGTGATTTTGACAATTGTTCATATAACTTTTTCGTCATTTATTAACAAAATATAATTTAAGCATTTAACCGCTTCATCCAGCCATTCCAGCCTTTAATTTAAACATAAACTTTTTCATTTTATGCGTTAGAATGCTGGATTGTATAATAATCAAAATAAGTAGAATGTTCATATTTTGAACATTTAAACATTCAATAACTCTATAAATTCACCTAATTTAACCGTTTCATCCAGACTTTTATCAATTTCAACAGATTCAGGTAATTCATCAAATTTCAGTGTTATCAAACAGGATCTTAGACTCGCTTTATTCTCACCATCTCATGTGATATTTATGGTTAGCTCAACTTGAAAAATACTAGGTCGATGTGTCAAATGCTATAAATATCCATTTCCTTGATATATTAAAGGGAAAGGTATATATTTAGGTCAGTTGTTTGGCGGGAGGGGAGTGAGTGCCACCAAAGGATAAATCTCGTGTTTGAATATAATCCATTATATGGATTAAAACCTTACTCGTTATCCATCAATTTGTGATTGAAATTTATCACACATCTCGAACTAGCTAACTAGGCGGTTATGAAGGGCTCCAAGATTAGGGTGTCATCCTATCTTTGGGAAAGGTAGATATGTACATGACGGATTGAGATCCTCTGCCTTAAGGCACAGTGCCTTGCTCAAATGGACGGCAAGGATCTAAAAGCAGGCCTCGAGATTCGTGCAAAAAATGGAGCCTTTCATCTTCAAACCCTTCATTTTTTGATCTGATGGATGAAAACAGCCAGGCACCCTCCTTGGCTGCTTAACCAAGGCAGAGACGCCGGATCCGTACATGACCTGTTGAATTTTTATAGCTTTGATGCGAAACTACGAAGACATAATGATCATCACCATTTGGCTCCCATTCGGTTCAAATGTTCAATACTTCAATACTCCGTATATATCATGTGTAAAGTTACAAGTGCTGACAAAAGGATTGAATTGGTACATTAAATTTAACTATATACGGAGTGCATGTGTTATACATATGTGAAAGCCATTTTCATTTGCTGCATCTAGATGCGATCACGCGACATATTTATTTACTGCTCACTTCTTCTCGAATTACAAGATACTTTTCACTTTATGATATTTGACTGATGATAAAGCAAATAAATCATTGTTTGAACTCAAATTATTACTCCGTATTAATAAAAAAAATTACATATTCAGAAACTACATTAAAAGTGCTACAAAACCTGCAAGAAATAATTTGAATCTCATAAAATTTTGATATATAAAATAAAAGATTAAGAGTGATGTGTTTGATCGAGTGAATAGTAAAGATGAAACAGATGGTATACATACAAGAAGTCACAAAAGTACAACTAATTTTGTCGACAGTGATGTTATTATTATCACCCACTCTGGCCATTGACCCTATAAGAGTACACCCCGAAAGTGTAAAATGTGATTAACAATTCATTACTTCAAGTTTAAACTGTGTATAACTGTATATGCATTCTTATAAAGAGTTGTTAGATGTTGCGATCCAGATTAATAGAGTAGTAATTAGGACGCATGAATATTTGTCTCAGATTATGATATGTGTCACTTGATTCGACTGTGCTGTTAATCAATCATTGATACATTTGTGTACTGAAACAAAAATAAAACTCATTGATAGCCATGGAATATCAAGTAACTTTAAATGACATTAATAGTATTGGCAAGACTGTGTAATGATTTAGGGTCTATTTGCAACAACTTCTGCTTTAAAAAAGTGTTTTTTTAATGAAATATGGAGAAGTGGTTAAATAAAAGTTGATAATATTTGAGAAAAAAGTGATTTTGAAAAGTAAAAGTTGGTAATGTTTGGTAAAATAAGTGCTTTTTGTGTAATAGAAAAAGTAAAAGCACTTTTGACACGAAAGCCGATAAAAATAAAATTTGTAGTGTTTGGTAAAAGAAGTGTTTTCTTAAAGACAAAAGCCGAGAAGTACCTTTTTTAAAGCGTTTACAAATCAACCCTTATATGGTAGAAGACCTCTATTTAATACGGAGTATATGCAATACTCCGTATAAGGCTCCAAAACACAAAAAGTTGTTCTCCGCGTCTTATTTTAGTTGTCTTACTTTTTTATTTGAATTGTTCCAAAATGGATGTGATGATTCCTTTTTTGGTAAGAAATTTGTGGTTCATATCATTTTACTTTATTCTACTCAAATCTCAATTACAACTTTTATTTTTCAATCACTTTATTAATAATCGTGCCAAATCGAAAGACAATTTAAAAAGCAGTTATCTTCAACAATTCATTTGAATGCCTTCTCGATTGAAGTTTTAGTTGAAATTTGGTATGAGTAAACTAGCCTTAATGAATAAGATGTTCAAAAGACTTCATCAAAAAGTCCCCAAATAATGACGTCCGGATAGAACCTCATTGATAAAGGCTTATTTGACATTTTTATGTAAATTCAAAGGTTTATATGACCCTTTTCCCAAAAAAAATCTAACTCATTTAAAAAAGTTGTGACCCTTTAATTGATGGGTACACTTTTATAGATCTGATTAACCTGTTCAAAACCGGTCCGAGTATCAACTTTAATTATCTTAATCAAACGTGAAAGTGTGTTAAGAAACACGTTTCATCTAGTAAACTACGGAGCAGTAAAGATGCCTTGCATCTCGGATGATGGACTACTAGAGCCGGTCCTGTTATAGCCTCATAGGCCGTAGACCTTACTTCATCATTACTCTAACTGTCTTTTGCCGTGTGAAGACTAATCATAATCACCACAAACGAGTTCTTACTAGTATAACATACAGAGAGTACTTCTTGCTTTTCTTAAACCCGATAATTTTGTCATTTTCTTTCTTTGATTGTAAAAAATACTCGTAGTTATCACTTTCCTTTTTAATTAATTAATTTGTGGAGGATTATTTCGCTCATTTATGCATAATTTCAATTACACCACTTTTATTTTATTATTTACTTTGCCGATCAAAATTGACAATGTTTTAAAATACGGAAGAAGTATGATACTTTTGGAACAAAATATTAAACTTTTTCTCATTTGGTTTGACTGAATTCCCCGACACATCCTTTGTCTCAAGAAGCCGAACATCATACAATGTTCGATTCCTTCGGTGCCGTTTGGTAACACCCCTTTTCGGCTTATCAGGCTTATCAGCCAACTTTTTCACCAAACACGTAATTTTTGTTTTAGGGTGCTGAATTGTGTAATAAGCAGAAAAAGTAAGGTTGGAGTTACTTTTCTGGCTGTATTGGCTGAAGTTACTGTAGATGACCATTTTAGCTATTTTTACATATAATTTTTTCTTTATTTTATTAATAAAATATATTTTAAAAATATTTTTTTCTTAAATTAGCAGAATCAGCCAATGCAGCCACTTCAGCCAGAACTTCAGAAATTTCAGCAGAATCAGCCAAACCAGCCGATTTTCCTTCTACCAAACGGGCTCTTCATGTTTCTCCAATAGCTTGTAGCCTAGCATTGTGGTGAATGGCTACACTTTCGGACCATAGCCTTTAGGACCAACTTCCTCGCCACAATAAGAACATGATTTTCTCGCGGGGGTGACGATTCTTCCAAGTACTTGTGTGTAAATTAGTAATTCCATCATACGGGAGAGTCGAAATGATTATCATATTTGATAGGGGTGAGCAAATAACCGCCAAAACCGAACCGACCGCAAACCGATGACCGAACCGACCGAAAAAGTCGGTTATCGGTCGGTTATCGGTTGGAAGTGTTGGAAATTTTCGGTTATTCGGTTTTTCGGTTATTATGCGGTTTCATTTATCGGTTTATCGGTTACCGACCGATAACCGTTCAAAATATATAAACTACAATAAATAAATAATATATACTCTGCATTCAGCCCATACCCAATCTTTACATGGTTTACTAAAGATTTAGCCCATACCCAATTAGCCCATAGTCAAATACGTAAAGTAAAAAACTAAAAACTACTAAACTAGAACCCTAAGTAAAGCTAGAGTAACTAATCGATCTCTTGATTCTCTTCTATACTCAGAACAATCAAAACTCAAAACCCCCTCAGCCGCCATCACCT